TCAGGAAAGACAACTACATATTTGCTTGGATTTGCTCTTGGATGTATGTCTCATTCAACTACAGTCACAAAGAGGAAGTTTGTTTATAGAAAGCTATTGCCAACATTTTAAGCTATTTTCTCTATTATTTTACATTTCAAAGCTTGAAATTTCATGGAGAATAAAATTATTTTCTCTTGTGGAATTAGTAAACTTTGCATCTTTGCTAAATAATTCTTAAGACTGCTGAGTATGCAGAGTTGAGAGATCAGCAGAGATGATGGTTACAAAGTAGATCAGATAGTTTTCATTCCCTAACAAACCATTCTAAACCTGGTGATGGGGACGTGTAGGTGGTTCAGTTGGTTGAGCGTCAGACTCTTGATTTCGGCTCAGGTCATGATCCCAGGGTTGTGGGATCAAGCCCTATGTGGAGCCTGCTTAAGATTCTCTCCCTCTTTCTCCCTCTGCCCCTCTCCCCCATTTGCACACACTTTCTCTCTCAAAAATTAAAAAAAAAAAAATTTGAAAATTAAAAAATAAGTCTGTGTTCATTAAAATTGCTTTGTCAGTTTTTTTATAATCAGACAAATCTTGAGAGTCAATTATGTGTAAGGATTTACATTAGGTATTAGGAGGATGCAATGCTAAATAAAATATTGTGCTTTCTGACAATTTAATAGACTTTTTAAAACACTGTATAGTGATCATAAAAATAAGCTCAAAATGGATTAGACCTGAATGTGAGGGCTGAAAGTATAAAACTCCTAGAAGACATAAGCAGTAACCTCTTTCACATGGGCCATACAAACTTTTTTCTAAATATGTCTTCTCAGGGAAGGGAAACAAAAGCAAAAATAAACTTTTGGGACTACACCAAAATAAACAGCTTTTGCACAGTGAAGGAAACCATCAATAAAACAATAAGGCAACCTACCAAATGGGAGAAGATCCTGCAAATGATTTATCTGATGAGGGGTTAATATCCAAAATATGTGAAGAACTTCTATAACACAACACCAAAAAGCCCCACAAATAATTCAATTTAAAAATGGACAGACAACCTGAATAGGCATTTTTCCAAAGAAGACCTACGGATAGCCAACAGACACATGAAAAGATGCTCAGTTGTCAGGGACATGCAAATCAAAACCACAATGAGATATCATCTTAATCTGTCAGAATGACTGCAATCAAAAAGACAAGAAATAACAAGTGTTGGCAGGAATGTGGGAAAAAAAAGAAACCCTCATACACTGTCGATGGGAATGCAAATTGGTGCCACCATTGTGGAAAACAGTATGGAGATTCCCTAAGAAATTAAAAATAGAATTACTGTATGATCAAGTAATTCCACTACTATTTACCCAAAGAAAATGAAAATGCTAAAAAAAAAAGATAAATGCACCCCTGTGTTTATTGCAGCATTATTTACAATAGTCAAGATATGGAAGAAACCCAAGTGTCCATTGATAGATGAATGGATAAAGATGGAGCACACGTGTGCCCGCCCCCCCCCCCCCGCCATACACACACACACACACACACACACACACACACACACACACAGACACTGGAATATTAGCCATAAAAAAAAAAAAAATAAGGAATGAGATCTTGAGGGCACTTGTTGGGATGAGCACTGGGTATTATATGTAAGTGATGAATCACTGGGTTCTACTCCTGAAACCAATACTACACTGTTATGTTAACTAAGTTGAATTTAAATAAATTATGTACTCAAAAAAAAAAAATGCGATCTTGCCATTTGCAACAACATGGATGGACCTAGAGGGAGTAATACTAAGTGAAATAAGTCAGAGAAAGACAAATACCATATGATTTTACTCATATGTGGAATTAAAACAAATGACCAAAGAAAACAAGAGACAAATGGAAAATTAGACTCTTTAAGAGAACAAACTGGTGGTTGCCAGAGGGGAAGTGAGTATAGGGACAGATGAATTAGGCAAGGGGATCAAGAGTACATTTACTGGGTGTAAAGGGAGAGATAAAAACAGAAGGACCAGCCAAATATCTACTTAAAGAATATTTAGAGCCCCAAATCCCTTCCTTGCCTCAGATTGGTAGATGGTTGCCATGGCTGTTCTCACCCCAGCAGAAGTCTGGGGTTTTATTCTCTGGAGAGGTCTCTGAACTGCAGAATACTAGGCACATACCCTAACACTAGCCCTAACCCTACCCTAGATCTGAGAAAGTGGCTTCCAGAACACACAATAAGAAAAACTGAGAACCAGCCTAGTTATCCTGGAGAAGAACTGAAACAGTTAAGAATTGGTAGTATTTCTGTAAATGAGTGTGAAGGTAGACATAAAAGCAGAAGGACTAATTAAATATCTGTTTAAAGAGTACTAGAGTATCAGCTGGGTAGATGGATGCCTAGTCTGTTCTCAACCCAGCAGAAGTCTGGGGTTTTAGTCTCTGGAGAGATCCCTGAACTGCAGAATATTAGGCATACCCTAACACCCTAACCCTGATCCCCTGGAGAGGTCTCTGAACTGTAGGATACTAAGCACATGCCTTAATTCTAACCTTAACTCTAACCCTAGATAAAAAAGGGAGTACATATGATGAGCACTGAGTAATGTATAGAAATGTTGAATCACTGTATTGTACATCTGAAACTGATATAACACCATATGTTAATTATACTACTTCAAATAAAAGTAAATAAAAAAGACTAGAATTATAGCCACTAGGTTATTCTTCTCATAATTACTATCCCATTTTGAAATAAATGATCATACAGCTGTTCAAGAATAAGGATTATTTTATGGCCCTCAATCGGATGAGGCTGTCATGCTGTGCCAAGCACTGTGGCACATGCTGGAGGATCCAGGAAGGTGCATTTCCTTCCCTGCTATGGGAGGTACTCTGTCTAGGAGGAGAACCAGATGAGGGAGGCATATATTTTTTTTAATGTTTATTTTTGACAGAGGGAGAAATGAGTGGGGGCATGAGTGGGGGAGGGGCAGAGAGAGAGGGAGACACAGAATCTAAAGCAGGCTCCAGGCTCCAAGCTATCAGCACAGAGCCCGATGCACGGCTTGAACTTACAGACCGCGAGATCATGACCTGAGCCAAAGTCGGACGCTCAACCAATTGAGCCACCCAGGCGCCTCATGAGTGAGACATTTGAAGCTGATCCACTGTTCTGCCTACATACATTGGCTGCCCTGTCTCCATCGTCCTTCTTGCAAGACTGAGAAAGATTGCGTCTGACACATCTATGTCTCCAGTCCTTATCCAGTGTCTGACACTTAGGTGCTCACTAGTTAGGGTTTTCCCTCTTCTAGTATTTGCTGTATTCTTGTAGATGCCTATAGATGCTGCTGCCATCTTTCAGATTTGTACTGTATGTTTGCTTTCACTCTGTTTTTGGAAGCAGAATTGAGAGGACAATGAGTGATTTTTTTTTTTTTTAAATGATCTCTAGCAGAGAAGGGAAAATTTTGTGCAAGAGGCCAAGAGCATTCTGTGTTTCCGCAAAAGTGGAAATGAAAACGTTTCTTGCATTTTTTTTTATGGTAAAGGTGTACTCATGCCACTCACCAAACACACAAAACAACAACAACAAAACTACGAAGGAAAAATAAAGGCTATATTGAGTCATTACGCCAAGCGTCTAATGATGAATGGGTGCGAGCGTGTTTCCAGACCACTCTCCTCATTCGTGTTCCCTGCCTAGCCCTTGCAGGAATGTGAGTGTGCAATCCTGGAGCTAGTTCCTGGAGATTAGAGACTGCTTCTTACTCATAGACATAGATGGAGCTCCTGTAGCTGGGCTGCTGCCTCATGTAGTGCCCAGGAGATTCACTGATTGACTGAAACAGTGAAACTGAGGGAGCCTGTAGGTCAGAGGAGGGAGCTTCGGGCTGCCCAGAGGAGCTGGAGTGGTGGCTACAGGAAAGAATTGGACTGTCACGTGCCAGAAGTGTTTCCTAAGCAGAAAAGTAGAAAGGACATTTAGGTTGAAAGAATGACTTGTGTCAGTGAATAGTCAAAAGAGCCTACTGTGCCCTGGGAGCATCTTTGGGGGTTGAGATACTGGGGAGGAGCCAGACTGGGGGAAGGGAGAGAAAGACTACACTACATTATACTAATAAGAAACTACCCTTACAAGCACGAATTGGAGGGCTTTGCTATTTCATGCTAATATTCACATTTCCTCTTTGCATCTGGGGTGCCTGTGGAAGGATGGGTTTAAATAGGGGTGTGACATGATCAGTGTTATGTTTTGTGTGTCAACAGTGTTAAGAGATGGACTGGAGAGAAACAAGACTTTAATTAGAAAGACACTTCGTGACTTTTGAGTATGTCAAGTTGAAGGTATCAAATTGAGTTTCATAACCAAGGGGAAGGACAGGCTGACGGTTTGGGGACTCCATTTTTGTAATCCATGCCATGGAATGGCTCGAGACGATAACAAGGAGACACTGGAGTAAGAAGAGGCTATGGCCAGCCCTGGAGACGGTAGAAGAAGAGTGGCAGGAGAAATCTGGGGGACCAGCAAGAACAGGTTTTAAGGTAGGGGGAAGAAGGGGTTTGAGGAAGGAAAGGCAGGAGTGGGAAGAGTGTCAAGTGCTGCGGTAGTATAGTTGGACAGTGTGAGAGGAGACTTTGGGATGTGACCATGATAGATTACGTTTGTTGCTTTTGTGAAAATCTCTTTCATTAGATTTAAGTCATTCATGGGAAGAAAACACAGTGGCAACTTTAAATTTTCTCACAATGCCTGACAATTAGTAGATGCTGAACCACCTTTGCGATAGTTTTAGGAGAGTCAATAAGTGTTTAGATAGTTAGAGTTTTCATAAAGTGTTATATATTATATAAGTACAAATTATTTCAGATGTGATGCACATGTAGAATCTAGTTTGTATATCTAAGACCATGCTTTCAGATAGAAATAAGCAGTGTTGCTTCAAATATATATTTGCTATTGGTATTTTAAGTTGAGTATTATACTATAGTGATTTTTTGTTTGTTTGTTTGCATAGCCTGGCACCTGTGTTTGCTCTGTTTGTACCATTTTACTGCTCCATACCGAGAGTCCAAGTGGCACAAATTCTGGGCCCATTGTCCATCACAAACAAGACATTGATTTATATATTGGGACTACAGGTACAGTATGCATTTTTATGTTCGTGTTTCTTTAACCAGATCTTTTTTTTTTTTGGTATGGGGGGGATGTCTTTTTCTCATTTGATCTCCTTGAAAACAATGTTTTTTTCCCCATAAGTTTGGCTTCATGATCTATATCAAATGTTCAAAGGAAGTGTTACAGAACAAGAACATCAAGGTATATAATGTACTAGAATACTTTCATAGTCTTTAGAAATCTGATAAGAGCTTTCACTGTAATTTGTATCAGTGGAAAATATTTTAATTTCATTGTACAATTCCGTGTAAGTACCTTTTACAAATCACAGTATGAAGTGGAAACAAATGAGACCTGTCAAAAGGTGGAAAGTGGAAATTCACTGTCAAAATTAATGAGTACAGTGTTACAAATAGAGCGCTGAAGAAGAAACCAGACATGCCTTACCAACTTCATAACTTCTGTGCTGTATGGCCACTTTGCTAAGTGGTTTGATTCGAAGACCTTCGAGAGTTCCTATTGTTTGATCTAAATTGAAAAAGGTTATGTTCACCAATATCCAGTGCCATTGACCTACCTCTGCTGGGTTCCAGGCCAAGTGACAGAAGAGACACAATTTTCATTTTCTCCCTGTAATACTCCTCACTTTTCTTTCATTCTCAGAGCTTTTGATGTGAACTTTTATTCTGCTTTTTCCTGCAGCACCATGGCCTTTTGATCCACTGTTAATACTCATAACATTCCTTATCCCACATATATCAAACCAGATACTAGTGTCTCTGTCAAATGCCCTCCTCCCTCCCCTTTTAACCTTTGATATTTCCTCCAACCTGTCTAGCGTGCTGTCAGGTGTTATCAATGGTTCATCTGGGGTGAGTGTTTCCTCACCACTTTTACAACTGTTTCTCATGAAATGTATATTCTTCATCTCTCAACCTGCATACAATTACTCTCCCTTATCCTTCCTAATGTATCACCTAATAGCACTTTTCTGCAGTTTATTCTTACTGCTAGGATTTGCGGTGGCAGTTTACTTTTTTAAAGATTTTAGTTTGTGGGTTTTTTTTTTTTTTTTTTTGAGAGAGAGAGAGTGAGGGAGAGGGGCAGAGAGAGAGAAAGAGAGAGAGAATCTTTTTAAAAAAAATGTGGATTTATTTTTGACAGACACAGTATGAGCAGGGGGAGGGGTAGAGAGTGAGAGGAAGACACAGAATCCGAAGCAGGCTTCAGACTCAGAGCTGTTAGCACAGGGCTTAACGTGGAGCTCAAACCCATGAACTGTGAGATCATGACCTGAGCTCAAGTCAGACACTCAACCAATTGAGCCACCCTGGTGCCCCATAGAGAGAGAGAGCATCTTAAGCAGGCTGCATGCCCAGTGCAGAGCCCAACATAGAGTTCAGTCTCAGGACCGTGAGATCATGACCTGAGCCAAAATCAAGAGTCAGATGCTTAACTGAGTGAGCCACCCACGCACCACGCACCACGCATGTTTACTTTTTAAAAAGAGTTACAGCAGAAGGCAGAATGCGGTGATAGAAGAGTACCCTGGACCTGGGGCAGGAGACCCAAATTCTAGTTTAGCAAGGAGATGAGACTTGGGTCAGTTTTGAAAACCCTCGGAGCCTTTTGTTGACTCTATAGTGCCTTATATAACTAAAGTTATAGAGCATCCTTGAGGGTGAAAAATGTTGTTTTATTGATTATGGCGTAGGCATTAAGTGGAGCATTATGGAAGGTCTTTGGAGCCAAGTGGACTTTGGTTTGATTACTTGTTTTGGTAGTTATTTGCTTTGACACTTTTCTGAGCTTCCATTTGCCCGTCCATAAAATGGGGATGATAATGTCTATCTTACAAGGTTCCTTGAAGGATTAGAGATAATACTGTTGGTCGGTCAAGATAATCCAAACGGATAGTAAGAACTAAGTCATTTGGTTCCAATATTAATTAATAATTTCTGTCTCTCTTGGTTTTTCTGAGATTGTGAATGTTATCTCTTTTTCTTTTTTTCCTTTTTTTTTTTTTTTTTTTTTTTTTGGTGAAGTAGAAGTTAGTATAAAGAAATAGAGGTGGAGATGCCTCATTGGCTTTTGATAACATCTAAAGTCCTTACCATAAATGGCATCCAGGGTTCTTTTTGCCTATTCAGTATCAACTCCCACCACTCCCCACCTTGATGTGAATGGGGACCCCTTTTTCTCTAAGTTTCTATTCTCTCCCTACCTCCCTCCTCCCTTGACCTTCACATATGTTTCTGTGTCTTTCTGTCTCCTGCATAACACTTTTTGAAGCCAGGGACATTGGATGAATGAATGAACAAATGAATGATTGAATGATTTTAATTATTATCAGAAGAGCAAAAATGTTTCTGAAGGTATCAGATGGCTTGAGAGCCAGTCACATAATGCCCTATGCTGGGGGCTGTGGAAGATAAAATGAAGTATGAGATGTAGCACCCTTGTCCTCAAGGAGCCCAGCAGTGAGAAAAAACATACCTACTGTTAAAACATGAGCAGACACAATTGGGACCAAACATGCAATAAGATAAGGGGCTTAAGAGTCCAAAGGAAATAATTTTTTATTGATGGAATTAATGATACGCTCTTCTTACTCGTGTATGAGACATGACAACTTGGAGGTCATGATCACTGGGCGGCAGAGCCAGACCTCTTGGGTACACTGCCAGCTCTCTGATCTTAGCAGGTTACTTAACCTCTCCGTTTTTATGATTAAAATAGAGTTAATAATAGAACTTACCTTGTAGGGTGATTAGGAGGATTCAATAACTTTAATATATGAAAAGCGTTAAGATCGATGCTTGGCACATAGTAAGTGCTATGAAAGTGTTAGCTAAAAGCGAACAAACAAAAACAAAATAAAATAACGGCAAAAAAGTGTTAGCTATTTTATTATTCTTTATTTTTTAGAATAAAACTACAGAAAAATATTTTTCCACATACTTTTCATCCTTTTTATTTTCAAAGTCGTTTACACTAGGTAAAAGGATTAAATTTTAGATCAAGGGATTAAATTTAAATTTGCAACCAGTGCTCCTTTCTCTGTAAGGTAGCACTAAGAACAAAATTTGTCAGCCTCCTTTTTGCCTGTACTTTGTCTTCTCTTACCTTTGTATCTCTCTTCTGTTTATGTTTCTCTCTCTCTCTCTCTCTCTCTCTCTCTCTCTCTTTATAGATACTTGTAAATGTGCAGAACTTTGAGATTTCCATTTAGCACAGTGTCTGTACTTAACCCCTGGTCATGCTTCTTTGTCTAGGAGCAGAAGTCCTCATACACCCAATATAATGGTATAAATATGAACACACAGTGGGTTCTAGATCTTTCCCTTCTCACAGCAACACTTTGAATGTCTTACGACTTTTTTTTGTTTAACCTCAGCACAACTCTCCTATGTAAATGATTTGGAAAACAAAGGGAGAGATTTTACGAGGCTTAATTCTGATTACTTTTGCATGAATTAACTTCAGTGTCATTGTCTAGTTTGCTCTTCCCTGAGTGGTCTGGAATGAGAGGCACAGCAGGTAAGCCGAGCAGCCCTGGACATGCCTGTGTGCTCACACAAGTTGGCCCGTCCAAAATTAGAGTGACAGTGATGAGAAATTAAAATGAGAGAACTGTGGAAACTAATGTCACCTGCCATTACTCAGCACCAGGCATGGGATGGTGGCTACGCATTTTGTATGTTGTTGATTGTAATAATTGCTTGGTATGTGGTATTTTGCTTTGCTTAAATCAATTAATGTCCATTTATAAATAAGAATATGCTTGAATTTAACTTATTTTTCTTTGCACGGGAGTGGGTTAGGTGCAACCAGTCTATTTTAGGCTATGGGAAGGCTGAGAGCTTGGTTTTAAAAAAAAGAAAAAGCATATCATTTTCTTTTGGATGACAGAATTGATACTTATTAATTTTCTACTTGTTTATATTAAGAGATATACAATTACTATTTAAATGGTTATCATTGTAGTTACGTAAACAGAAGTATGCTGTGACTGGTGGTTGAATTTAATTTTTAGTTGCCTTTTTTTTTTTCTTTTATAGCTTTTCACCTCTGGTTCCTACATCTGGATTATAGCCATAAGTGGACTTGTAAGTGTGATTTCCCTCCCCCTAAACTCGCTTTTCTGAAGCAACTTTAGGGAAAATGTCACCTTTGGATTATGGGTATATTCACTGGTCTCCAACATTCTTTTAACTGTGTCAGCTCCGTCTCAGTGCTGCTTCCTTAGTAATGCAGAGGGGCCAGTTACATCAACAGTTAAGATGAAGGGGGCCAGTTTGTCTCAGTTTTCAAGGTAATTTTGATGAAAGTTTTAGCTGAGTTTCTTGTTAATTTTTTTTTTCAAAAAAAATTTTTTAATTAATTTATTTGAGACAGAGAGAGAACAAGCAGGGGAGGGGCAGAGAGAGAGGGAGACAGAGGATCCGAAGCGGGCTCTGTGCTGACAGAAGAGAGCCCAGTGCGGGGCTCGAACTCACAAACCTTGAGATCATGACTTGAGCCTAAGTTGGACGCCTAACCGACTGAGCCACCCAGGCACCCCTCAAATTTTTTTAAGTCTATTTATTTATTTTGAGAGAGTATGAGCAGGGGAGGGGCAGGGAGAGAGGAAGAGAGAGAATCAGAAGCAGGCTCTGTACTGTCAGCGTGGAGCCCGATGCAGGGCTCGAATTCATAAACAGTGAGATCGTGACCTGAGCTGAAATCAAGAGTTGGACCTTTAACTGGCTGAGTCACCCCAGTGCCCCTCTTGTTACTGTTTTTTAAAATTACCTTAGCAGTCGAACTCATAGTAGAAAAAAAATGACAAAAAAAATTGAAGTTGGACTTACTAAAAATAACCAGAGATGTTCTTGTTTTGTGAAGAGACATTGTCATGCAAGGGGAAAATAAGGCAAAATGGAAAGTCAGGTGGACTAGAACTGGCAGGAGAATCGTCTGGGTGGTGGCCAGAGAAGGCAGCAGAGATGAGCTGAAGGGTTTGGGCTGTGTCCTCACCTGTGCACTGGAATGGCTTCATCCCACCGGTCCCCTGCTGTGCTATTTTATCAAGCATTTGTCTTAAACTGTATTCATGAGATATTTAAAAAGACATCTAGAACGTGAAGTTGTTTTATTTTTCATCCATAACTTAAATTTGTACTCCCAAGCTTATATAAAAATAAGTTTATACTTAGTGTGTATGGAATACAGTTTTAATTTTTTTCTTGGGGAAGATTGATGAAGAAGGGATTTATCGTGATATATATAGCATCACGGGGAAAGGATTTGGAAATAACCGTGCACTCCCCTGCAGACTTTTTCGGTGTTATGATTTAGTCTTATTTCCTGATGGGTGGGATTTGGGCCCCTGTGTTGTTACTTTAGACCTGCTCACCTCTCCTTCCTTTATGCATTCTGTACAGTTTCTTCTGTGTGCTCATTCTTTTCATTTACAATTTAGTCCTTCATTCTCCAGGCTGCCAGCCCACATCCTGAGGGTTGAAGTCACTTTGTTTCCGCCTCCAGAAATACCTGTCTCAGGCACCCAGATAACACAGGCCCACAGAGCTGACCTCCATTATGTGGTCTTCAAACCATCCAAGCCTCTTGTGTTCCTAAGACTTCATAGTGACTGGTGACAGTGTGGGATCAGACTGCATCTGTGGGGCATGGTCACCAAGCTCTCTCTTTATCTCCTAATCTCCTCCCACTTGAACTGTCAGTTTGATTAACAGCTACTTCACTAGCCTGCAAACAATAGATAGTGCGATGCTCTCATAATAAGAGCAGCATGATGGTCTACTATTTCTTTCCTGATACATTTTGTTTCTTTTAGCAGTAAATGGTCTTGAGTCCTGTTTTCAGTATTTTCCTGAAGCATTCAAGAATTTGAGAAGTACCGGACTGACTATATGCTATTTCACTGTGCTGGTTTACTATTAATTGATTGGGTCGTATTATCCAAACCCTTCTTTAATCACTCATTATGTGACATTTGTTTTGAAACATTTCATTTTGTTTCTTTATTGTTTTCAGACTTCTGGTTTTATTTATTTTTTTTTTTTAATTTTTTCTTTTTTTAATGTTTATTTATTTTTGAGACCGAGAGAGACAGAGCATGAATGGGGGAGGGGCAGAGAGAGAGGGAGACACAGAATCAGAAGCAGGATCCAGGCTCTGAGCCATCAGCCCAGAGCCCGACGTGGGGCTCGAACTCGCGGACCATGAGATCGTGACCTGAGCTGAAGTCGGACGCTCAACCAACTGAGCCACCCAGGCGCCCCTCAGACTTCTGGTTTTAAATCAAGTGCTTGCTAACACCCCAGAAATTTGCATTTTATGGCATTCAGTGCTCTAGAATTGGAGGTTGCATTTTTTCATTTCTTTGTAGTCTTTTTAAAATCTAAAATATGCGTGTTGTGATCAGTCTTTTCCAGTACATGTTTAACAGGTAGTAGGTACTTGTTTAAATTTCTTACAGTTAAGTTTTTAATTCCAGTATAGTAAACATACAGTGTTATATTAGTTTGGGGTGTCTTGTCGTGATAAGAACTGTGTGATGTATGGAATTGTTGGATTTTTTCTTTTTAAGAGTCAGAAGTTTAACAAATTTTTAACATAAAAATCCCTTAAGAAGAGTAAATAGAGGGGCACCTGGGTGGCTCAGTCGGTTAAAAGCATCCAACTTCGGCTCAGGTCATGATCTCACGGTTCGTGGGTTTGACCCCTGCATCAGGCTCTCTGCTGTCAGCACAGAGCCTGCTTTGGATCCTCTGTCCCCCTCTATTTCTGCCCCTCCCCAGCTTGTGCTTTCTCTATCTCTGTCTCTCTCAAAAATAAATAAACTTAAAAAAAAAAAGAGGGGGGCGCCTGGGTGGTGCAGTCGGTTAAGCGTCCGACTTTAGCCAGGTCACGATCTCGCGGTCCGTGAGTTCGAGCCCCGCGTCAGGCCCTGGGCTGATGGCTCGGAGCCTGGAGCCTGTTTCCGATTCTGTGTCTCCCTCTCTCTCTGCCCCTCCCCCGTTCATGCTCTGTCTCTCTCTGTCCCAAAAATAAATAAAAAAAAAAAGTTGGAAAAAAAAAAAAAAAGAGGAAGAAGAAGAGTAAATAGCATTGCACAGTATTTGGAATATAATTCCCAGAATTTAGCATTTAAACAGTCTACCTATTCATGAACACCTCTGAGCCCATTGAATTTTCACTTTTAACAGTAATTAATTCAGCCTATGTTGACCTACAATGAACACAAATCTGACAAATATTCATTTCAGTTTTGTTCTTCATTATTACTCCATCATAATTAGATGATATTATGTTTATTTACAGTGATTAATATCAGTGATAATCATAGCCAGTGTTCCTTTCCTTCATGCCTTACAGTTAATGTTGGTGTTTGTATTGAATTTAATGAATATTTTATTTGACTTTTTCCAAAAAGACATGTTTTTATTATGAAACATTTAATATAATATAGTACACTTTAGATACGGATAATTATAAAGGATATTAAAATTATTTGTGAATGTTCGGTTTACACATTACTTGATTATAGAATCAGGGTCTGAGATTCACAAAGCCACAGCTTGTCCCAGATGTCTATTGCTCAACGTGACTTCTCTCCCATGTATATCAAGTGACTTCCCTTTTTTTTTTTTTCTTAATCCTACATCAAATGCTAAAAAATAAAATAAAATTCTTACTACAAAAAGAACTGCACAGATGGTATTGAGTGTTCTGGGGGCATATTAGGAAACCTGTTAATGAAATTTCACCTTCCAGCATTGGAACCAATAGTTCTCCTGACATACTGTGTGTGTTAAGGAAGTGATTTTATTTCAATCTGGCCATTCTGTGTTGTTTAGGAGAAGGAGCTTTTTTTTGAAAAAGACATTTGTGTAAAACATAAGTCATGTGTATCTGCTGTCATAGAAACCACAAACTTTACTCATGCTTTTCTGGAAAGCTGCCAACTCCAGATTTATTTTATTTAGTTACTGGTGGGTTTATTTTGGGTAGGCTAGTTTTTAATCTCTCCTTGTGTTATTTATTCTTGCATGATTATAAATGTTTCTGAATATAAAACTTTAAAATACCTCACTGACTGAAAGGAGAGTGGTTGATAGAGTTGAGTCAGGACAGCACTTACTTAAGTAGGAGCCTGCTTTCTGTCTTCAGTGATGTCACAGAGAAAAGGAGGACTAAATTTTTTTCCTAGGTTGAGAGGGGAAGAGTATTTAGCTTTCCAGGGGCAGTACTAAGTCTGTTGCCTAGGACAGCTGTCACTCTTCAGTTCTGTTTTGTGATCCAGCCCAGATTCCACCTGCTGCCCAGAAAGGGTCAGGGGCATTCAGGTTTGCTTAAAGATTACTTCGAGATTATTCACATGTGTCATGAATACGTATTTTATGTTGTATTGTTTCTCCTTTGTTAATTCTGGTTTTTAATACCAACATTTAATATTTAAAATAACAACCGTTTCCATGAAAGATCATAAAATTGTAATTGTATTGGCTACAATAGCCAAGTGAAATATCTCAGTGCAAGCACGAACTTCGAGGTGTTAGTGCCCACCTGCTTCCATCACATTTTCACTGTCATATTTGACTGTCTTCTTAAGGTCTCTGGTGAGCGGCCTTCAGAAATTGGGGGCATTCTTTATATAGTAACAAGTTCTCTGGTCTTGTTATACATTAATACTTTTTCTCCTTAGAGACCATGTTGTTTCCTTGCTGAACTTTATTTAAGTTCTTTCTGTGCTTCTGCAGAGAGCCTTTGGTCCATCCGTATCCCCGTACTTCTTCATTTTCTGCCATTTTATGAATCATAGAGTAGTGAGTCATCACCACTGGGATGCACCCTGATTCTCAAAAGTTGAAGTCTCGGGCCTGAGCTGATTCTGGAATGATTAAAACAGAAAGAGCCTGCTTTCGCCAATTTTCTTTTTACAGTTCATATATTTATCGTCATTTGGTCCTCTTTTGAACTCTCTGGGGACAAATTAAGAGACAGGCCTATATTTTTCAGACTCCAGGCTTATCCCCTTCAGCTATCCTTTGCGGCCTGCCTGTTTCCTGCATTCTTTCCCTGTTCTCTACAATATGTCAGA